AAGGAAGGAAGGAAGGAAGGAAGGAAGGAAGGAAGGAAGGAAGGAAGGAAGGAAGGAAGGAAGGAAGGAAAAGGGAGGGAAGGAGAAATTGAATTCAACAACCCAATGAATTGATTGGAACAGAGGATCACTGTGGGAGATGGAATCCTCTTGGCTGGTTGTGTGCATCCCGGTGTGTCTTTTTTTGTGTGTTTGTGTGTGTGTGTGTGTGTGTGTGTGTGGGCGCGTGTGCGCATATGCTTTCCCTTGACAACTCCCACACTCCTCCATCCCGTCAGGGGAATTCTGAGAGTTGAGGTCCCTACATTCTAAACAAAGGGCCGAGATTGTGTGTTGTGTGAAAGCAGACACGAGGAGCCTCGGGTTCAATCAACACCTCCTTTATTGCATCACAATCTCTTGGCATCATTATTCGCGATCCCCGCGATCAAACCCTGGATTCAAAACCAGATCAAACCCGATCCCTCGGAGATCACCGATGCTCCTGGATCACCCCAGATCCCCTCTGGTCCCTTTTCGGGAACCTTTCGGTCACAACACGGCTGCCGACATCCCTCGGGCGAAGAAGGCAACGTTCTTGTCCTGGATCTGATACTGGAAAACCCTCTGGGGATCTTTCGCCTCGCCAGATTCCCAGGAATCCTTTTCCAGGATGGTGAGCTGCAGGAGGGAAGAGATCCTCTTGGGTTTTAGATCTGCCATCCGTGCCAAGAGATAATCCTCAACATACGACCATAATGGGAGCAGAATTTCCACTGCTAAGTCAGTTTTTTATAAGCTTTTTCCAAGTGGTTGTTAAGCGAATTGTGGTCATTAAGTGAATCAGGCAGTCGTTAAGCAAATCCAGCTCCCCTGCTCCTATTAAATGTGCTTGTTGGAAGCCGGTTGGGAAGGGCACAAATGGGAATCATGTGACCTCAGGACGCTGCAGTCCTCGACTTACGAAGCACAACTGAGGCCAAAATTTTGGTTGCTAAGTGAAACATCTGCTTTTTTCTGACCTTTCTTCCATGGTTGTTAAGTGAATCAGTTTACTTAACAAGAAGGGAGGGAGGGAGGGAGGGAGGGAAGGAAGGAAAAAAGGGAAGAAGGAAAGAAGGAGGGCAGTAAGGCAGGAGGGAAGGAAGGAAAGAAGGAAGGCAGGAAAGAAGAAAGGAAGGAAGGAGAAAAGGAAAGAAAGGAAAGAAGGAAAGAAGAAGGCAGGAGGGAAGGAAGGAAAGAAGGAAGGCAGGAAAGAAGGAAGGAAGGAAGGAGAGAAGGAAAGAAAGGAAAGAAGAAGCAGAAGGGAAGGAAGAAAGGTAGGAGGGAAGGAAAGCAGGAAGGAAGGAAGGAGGGAAGGAAAGCAGGAAAGAAGACAGGAAGGAAAGAAGGAAGGAAAGGAAGGAAGGAAGGCAATAAGGGAGGAGGGAGGAAGTCAGACAAGAAAGAAGGAGGAAGGCAGGAAAGAAGGAAGGAAGGGAGGAGGGAGGGAGGGAAGGAAGGAAGGAAAGAAGGAAGGCAGTAAGACAGACAGGGTGGAGGGAAGGAAGAAGGGAAGGAAATAACTCAGGCAGGAAGGTAAGAAGAAGAGGGAGGGAGGAAGTCAGACAGGCAGGAGGGAAGGAAGGCAAGAAAGAAGGAAGGAAAGCAGGAAGAAAGAAGGCAGGAGGGAAGGAAGGCAAGAAAGAAGGAAGGAAAGCAGGAAGAAAGAAGGCAGGAGGGAAGGAAGGAA